ACTTCAAAAAATTTTATTATCCGTCAAAAGTTGTTTATTGAAACTACCTTCTTTTTTGTATCATGGTTGGCAAGACACTATTCAAAGTAACCTTTAAGAAGCAAACAAATTTTTAGTTTGTGAAAACTTAAAAAACGTGGACTGCGACCTTTCGTTCCCAACACAGCGTTTGAGTCATATGGGGTGATTAGAGGAGTACCTCTAGAATATGATGTGAAAGATATTAAAAAATCTGCAAACTCTAGCGTCCCGATTTCTTCTGTGTATCGGTTTACACGTAGAGAAAAAAGAGTGATAATTAAGATATTTGGCTTTTTAGGAAAAGACATTCCAAGTCTATCAAGCACGAATATACTTGGCTAGAAGTTTCTTTTTACATTCCTTCTCTAAGGCAGCGTAGAAAATGTGTCAGGCTTGGTCACACGCAACTCGGATGCAAATCAAAGAGTAGATGCCTCAACTGTGGCAATCAGGAATGTGACAATGCGTGTAATCAACCAGGCTGCATTCTTTGCGGTAAGGAGGATCACAACTCCAAAGACAAGGACAAAGCGGGACATGGCAAAAGGAGCTCATGATCAGTCGCATTAGGGCGGTTAAGAAACTTTCTATAAAAGAGGCAATTGATACTTATTTACCGAACAGAAACAACAGGTTCGACATTTTAGAAAATGAGCAGGCTGAATTCCCTCAGTTAGGTGCTGAAGAAGTGATAATGGACAAAAACCAGTTTATTAATAGAAAAATAATAATAATAAAATAGACAAATGACTACTAGGATGAGCTATAGCAAAGTGACAAGATGCCTCATAGTGGAACCGGCGACCTTTAGACGCAACTTGACATCAAGGCAGGCGGTGGTACAGCCTGTCTATGAAACGCCAGAGTACAGTAAGAATAGGGTTACGGAAATAGAAAAATTATTATCCGAAATCTTCAAAATTACGCAAAAATTTTGTATTGAACACAATCTAACATTAGAGCTTCAAACAATTCAAAACTTAAAATCCCATTATGACAGCACAGTCATTGATGACGAGATAAGACAGATAAGGGACAGAAATCCTAACCCTAATGAAGATTAATATTGATTACAATAATAATAACAAATATAATGATAATAATTAACATCATAAAACGGATACATCATTTAGCAAGCTGGCAACACTATTCCGATATTGACATATCGATCCCTGCAAAAAAAAATCCCCCTTTTGGGAGAGTGGGCAACATTGCAATACAAAAGCTGAATAAAACAATAACAAACTAAAATATTATAAACCAAAAAATAACAAAATGTAAATAATTTGGAAATATACAGTTAGTCGCGCAAAGGCAACTGTTTCCCAAATGTTTATCATAAAAGGACATCACAAAAACGACCCGCTACTCAAAAAGTGACTGCAGCGATGGATACACTTGCAGCTGGAGAAATTTGCAAGGCGATGGGCGTAAAGGACGACACTTTGAAAGTGCGTTTGCGCCGCCTGACGGAAGCAGCATACTAGCATTAGGGGAGGAGAAGGCGTTGAAGACAACGCAAGTCAGGCCAGCACAGAGATTTACGTGCACGAAAGCCCAAACACCGGTGCGAGTGATGAGGGGCGCTGGAGTCCTGCATCATGGAACCCAAGCGACTACACGACTCGGAGTTTAGTAGCAAGCAGCGAGGCGGGTAGACATTTACGCCAGCAGAAGTATGCGGCGATAGCAACGACGATGACTACGAGTGGCATCTAGGCAAGATGATAAGGGCGCCCACGCCAATCGAGGTGTCCGATGACAGCTATAATGAGCCACGCAGGGCCGAAATGGACATCGAACAAGAGGACTGCCAACGCCCAGGTGAGGGTTATATAGAGTATGTCCGGCGCATCACTATGACGATGCGAATTTTTAACGACGCGTCACACAGCACCGAATCGTGGCGACAACCACCTGCGCAGTCGTTGTGCGACGTAGCTGCGGCGACAATATCAAGTAATAGAGGCGATGAAGGAAGCGAAGAGGAGAATGCGCTCACCCTGTTGGTGGAGGAAGACCGCGGGTTGGAGCAGTTGTTGGAGGACCCCCAAGTCCCTACACTCAGGGACTTCACAATTGGCTGTCATATGTTATTGAACTAAATTATATTTTGAATTGTTAAATACATATATATATTTATATATAGATATAAATGGAGAACTGTTGAATTTATTTATACATATTAAACGGATTGCTAATTATATACATATATACGTGAAATCGAAATACATATGTACATATCTATATTGAAATCTGAAGTACATACATACGTACTTAGGTATGAACAAGTAAAAGGAAGTAAAGAAAATATTAGCAACAATGTTGTTAGGATAACTGTCTGCCTGCGTGCAGGACAGTATAAATAGAGCAGCAAATGTAATTTGAAATCACTTCTGGTAGAGTAGTCGTATACTCCAGTCGATCGTGAAAACGCAGATTGGAATGGCTAAGCCACGATTGTGAAGACTAAGTTGCTTAGTAGGTAGTTAAGGTATATGGTGTGACGTTAAAACGCTGCCAAAGCAATACGTTATATTAGTGTGACGTGAAAACGCTGCCAAGTAGTACTTATATGGTGTGACGTGGAAACGCCGCCAAGGAAATACGTTATATTGGTGTGACGTGCAAACGCTGCCAACTAAATAGCGAAATAAAGAAGCGTCACTATAAGAATCATTGGCGTATTTATTTTAACGTTTGGATAAGGGAACCCAACATCCGACCGAGCCACAGCCCAGCCATAGACCGGATAAACCGCGTTCGTTAGAGCGTTGGTTTTACTACGACTTTGCAAAGGCGAAAAAAATTTACTTGTGAGTCTTTTAGCCTGAAGTATGTATGTAGATACAATATGGCAGCAGCTTTCTACCTACCTTTTGTTTATTTTCCACTAATAATTAGTATGCTTTAGAAATATTTACGGAAATAGAGCACATGATTTCGTTCATTTTAGAGTTGTAGCGGGTAGTGAATTTTTCTTCAAACTGCATTTCGCTAAGTGTGGAGTTGTGTGGTTTCGTTGGGATTTCCCTGAATACAAGATATTTCTTAAATACGTACGTTCTTCATAAAATTTTATTTTGTAAGAGTTTTGGGTGTGCACCTACATAAATGATTTAAACGGTGCGGGTGCTCCTTTCGTGATCACTCACAACAGCTTATCCTAAAAACTTTTTAGGGCGATGTATGGAAGATGTTTTTTCACTTTTCTAAGGAATTACGCTATAATTGCACGTATACATATACATATTCATTGCCGTCAGTGGTAGAAGTAATATAAGTAATATGGAAGATGTTTTTTCACTTTTCTAAGGAATTACGCTATAATTGCACGTATACATATACATATTCATTGCCGTCAGTGGTAGAAGTAATATAAGTAATATGGAAGATGTTTTTTCACTTTTCTAAGGAATTACGCTATAATTGCACGTATACATATACATATTCATTGCCGTCAGTGGTAGAAGTAATATAAGTAATATGGAAGATGTTTTTTCACTTTTCTAAGGAATTACGCTATAATTGCACGTATACATATACATATTCATTGCCGTCAGTGATAGAAGTAATATAAGAGTCTTCCCACAGTGGTAATTGCCTATTGCATCGCATTTCTTTTTCGAATCGTATTACAGAGCAGCCTCTTAGATTTTTTTTGGAAAATATAAATCGTATGCTGCGAATGCCGCATTATACTAAGGCCAACCTTTCGACATAAGCTACTATTCCATATGAACACAGATATATAATAATAATCCCAACGGTTTTTACCCTCCATTCCCGCCCATCCGCACGAGGGGCGCAGTCCGCATGACGTACGGAACCAATATTTTAAATTTTTGTGCCGAGTCACGATAGGCAGGAGTTTGTTAAGTGTCGAGATCTAAAACTGTTCAGCTACAGAACTAAATTCATCAGCTGATTTTATGTATTTATGTCAATAATTCACTTATTGAGAGAGGAGAGTATCGCTTTCTTAATGCTGAAAAGCGGATCTGATATATCAAACGTGCTGGAATGAGAGTTAAAATCCTGGCATAAGCAACGGAGTGGGTCGTGCAATTCAAAATTGGTTTTACAAGCTTTCAGAAATATGGGGCAAAAGTGTCTTGATACGCGTAAGGGAACATTAAAGCTAACATCAGCCAGAAGAGACGGACTTGAAATTGAGCCTGTCAGTAATTTAACCATAAAAATTAGACCAAGCATTTCCCTGCGACTGGCAAGTGTAGGAAGGTTAATAAGTTTTAAGCGACTCGTATAAGGTGGAAGACTATATTGAGAATCCCATCGGAAATTTCTTAAAGCAAAAAGTAGGAATTGTTTTTGAATTGATTCTATCTTGTCTGAGTAAATTTGATACTTTGGATTCCAAACCACCGAGCCGTATTCCATAATCGGCCTAACTAATGTTGTAAACAGGGTTTTAGTGATATAAGGGTCACTAAATTCTTTTGACCATCGTTTCACAAATGCAAGTACACCTTTAGCCTTGTTGACTGTCACATTAATGTGAAGATTAAAATTATGCTTAGGATCCATTGTGATACCAAGGTCCACAAAATTGTATACCTGTTCCAGGTTATGGTTACCTATTATATAAGAAACTGGCAGAACAGCTCTTCGCGAGAAGCACATTACTTTACATTTCTTAAGATTTAGAGGCATAAGATTTACTTTACACCAGTAAGCCATGCTGTTTAAGTCTGATTGTAGCAAAGACCTTTCTTTAATTGAAACGTACGATTTATAAAGTTTTACATCATCTGCATACATTAAAATTTTGGAGAATTTTATATCTGTAGAAATATCGTTTATAAAAAGCAAGAACAGAATCGGGCCTAGGTGGCTACCCTGAGGGACTCCTGAACTAACATCAATGACGTCAGAGATAGTATTTTTAAACAATACCCTTTGTGATCTATCATAGAGGTATGAATAGATAAGATCTAATACTTTGCCNAAATGAAGCAAATTATTACATCACATTATTTTATCTATTTATTTTCTTCAATTTCTAATTTTGAGAAGTGGAGAATATCAAAATTTAATTTTGTTATCAATAGATTCGATAACGATTTTTTTGACAATTTTGTACGTAACTTAGTGAGTATTGTAGAAAGTGCGCTGAAAGCCCGCTCAACAGAAACTTGTGTTGCTGGTACTGCTAATACAACCTCCGCTAACTTCAACATCTCACACTCATTCCGATAAAATTTTCTCCAGTATTCCAGGACATTTGTGTCGAACGGTTTCATTCCTTTTACACAGAGATTAACCAGCTTTTGTTTGATGTCAGGTTTTACGATTGGTCTCGTTGCACTTTGCGATTTTGCCAATGACCTTACGTGAAGCGTTAACTTATGGTACGCCCCTTTCGATGTGCTTGGAAGTTCATTGTCCTGTGTTGTATGTGGTACAACTCCAGAAGTGCAATCATTCTCATATTCTGATGGATTTTCAATTTTCTGGATCATTTCGTAAGTCCTTATTAAGTGATCCTGTAAAAGAATAGGAAAAATTAAAATAACTGGATTAGTATCTCACAATTATAAAGATATAAAAAATTCAAAGTAAACAATAAATTAATTGAACGAAATATAACATCAAGATAATGAATTTTGAAATAAATTTCAGTTGGCTTACCATTGCAACATCCTTTTGCTCAGAGCTGAGGAGAGGTGTTTCTTCAAAATTAAATCTTGGATCTAGATATAGAGCAGCGACGAAAGCCTTATATTCTAAAAGGAAATTTTTTTCTTATTTCCATCGCATTTAGGAAGGAATCTGCATAAATATTGTCTGGTACCAAGTCTACAAGCTCTAGTTCGCAAGTAAGCCAATCCCTGAAGAAGTCTCCTATAATATACTGCTCATTTTGAAGTTTTAGGGTGCACTTAGAGATTGGTTGAAAAGCGGTGAGAAAATCCTTAACGAATGACCAATTTATGTACATGTTTTTATCCAAATTTTCAATGTATTCTTTGATTCGGTAAAGTGATTCCATCATATCATACGTAGAGTTCCACCTAGTTCTGTTGTCGATGAATGGCAAACTGATGTCGGTATTTCCTGCTCTTACTAAGGTTCTCAATTTTTTTACAATCGTCCTGCACTCTTCCAAGTCCTTTTCAATTGTTTTTATGACATCATATGCTGCTAGCTGAATAGTATGAGCAGCACAACGAACAACAGAAAACACAGAAGCGATTTGAGACTCAATATGATCTGCCTCAACATCATTTATAGCATCTTTGTTTGCTAAACTTTCTTGCTGCATATCGTGTAGCAATTTGGACGCTTTAACTACATTTGCGCCGTTGTCAGTGGTATTGGAATAAATTTGGTTTATCCCAATGCNCAATATGGTCTGCCTCAACATCATTTATAGCATCTTCGTTTGCTAAACTTTCTTGCTGCATATCGTGTAGCAATTTGGACGCTTTAACTACATTTGCGCCGTTGTCAGTGGTATTGGAATAAATTTGGTGTATCCCAATGCCATACTCGTTGAGACATTTCATAATTTCTTCCTTTAAATTTGCAGCTGTATGCCGTTTAGTTGTTTCAATCATTCCTGAAAAAAAAGTAAAGAAGTATGATTGTCGAATACTTATTCATTTAAATGAATATACATATGTATGTATGTGTGTTTATTTATATAAAACGAAACTACTTACCAATTGTATGAACAATGACTTTGTAATCTTTAATGTATTGGATGTTGATCCCCAGCACGCTTCTTTCCATGCGAGTTGCGATGTCAATTTTTATAGATATTATTTTATTTTTTACCGAATGACCTATTTTTTGCTTAATTTGTTGACTTGCTTTGTCAAGAAGGCTATGTTCTTTGAGTTTAAATGTATACCAAACTTCTGCTCGTATGGTGATATAAGTTGTTTAAAATATTCCTCATCAAATATTCGAAAGGGAATATTTTTTTTGGTGACCAGTCCCACGCAGCATCTCAAAAAACTGTCTCTGTCTAAACTAGTACTTAACTTTGACACGGTTTTTCGTTTTTTTGTGGTAGAAGTATTATCATCATCACTGTCATCACTATTTTCTATATCTATTTTGTGTATAAGTTTATAATGTCTTTTAATATTTCCTCGCAATAATCCAGTAAGCTCTCTTTTACACGACTCTACAATGCAGGTACTTTTCTTGGTAGTTTCATCGTACTTAACGTAATTTTGCAAATCAGTTTTTTTCCTTCCCATTGTCTTTTCTCAATATTGTTATATCGTTTATTTATGTAAATAGTCGCTACTAAGCACTGTATAACACACCTCTCTACCGATGTTTGGATAAAGAAATTCGTTCGCCCTCTTATATATATCCGACAAGCACATTCCATAATTTACTGGAAACGATTTTCCATTACTTCTACCTCTGACGACAATGCATATGTATATGTATACGTGCAATTATAGCGTAATTCCTTAGAAAAGCGAAAAAATATCTTCCATACAACGCCCTAAAAAGTTTTCAGGATAAGCTGTTGTGAGTGATCACGAATGGAGCACCCGCATCGTTTACCTCATTTATGTAGGTGCACCCCCAAAACTTACAAAATAAAATTTTATGAAGAACGTACGTATTTACGAAATATCTTGTATTCAGGGAAATCCCAACTAAACCACACAACTCTACNTCATCACTATTTTCTATATCTATTTTGTGTATAAGTTTATAATGTCTTTTAATATTTCCTCGCAATAATCCAGTAAGCTCTCTTTTACACGACTCTACAATGCAGGTACTTTTCTTGGNGTTTTTCGTTTTTTTGTGGTAGAAGTATTAACATCATCACTTTCATCACTATTTTCTATATCTATTTTGTGTATAAGTTTATAATGTCTTTTAATATTTCCTCGCAATAATGCACTAAGCTCTCTTTTACACGACTCTACAATGCATGTACTTTTCTTGGTAGTTTCATCGTACTTAACGTAATTTTGCAAATCAGTTTTTTTCCTTCCCATTGTCTTTTCTCAATATTGTTATATCGTTTATTTATGTAAATAGTCGCTACTAAGCACTGTATAACACACCTCTCTACCGATGTTTGGATAAAGAAATTCGTTCGCCCTCTTATATATATCCGACAAGCACATTCCATAATTTACTGGAAACGATTTTCCATTACTTCTACCTCTGACGACAATGCATATGTATATGTATACGTGCAATTATAGCGTAATTCCTTAGAAAAGCGAAAAAATATCTTCCATACAACGCCCTAAAAAGTTTTCAGGATAAGCTGTTGTGAGTGATCACGAATGGAGCACCCGCATCGTTTACCTCATTTATGTAGGTGCACCCCCAAAACTTACAAAATAAAATTTTATGAAGAACGTACGTATTTACGAAATATCTTGTATTCAGGGAAATCCCAACTAAACCACACAACTCTACACTTAGCGAAATGTAGTTTGAAGAAAAATTCACTACCTGCTACAACTCTAAAATGAACGAAATCATGTGCTCTATTTCCGTAAAAATTTCTAAAGCATACTAATTATTAGTGGAAAATAAACAAAAGGTAGGTAGAAAGCTGCTGCAATATTGTATCTACATACATACTTCAGGCTAAAAGGCTCACAAGTAAATTTTTTTCGTCTTTGCAAGGTCGTAGTAAAACCAACGCTTAGCTATTATTTGATTATTGCTGCAAAATTTTTGCTCATTCTGCGCTACTGTTCAGTAAATAACTATGCTCTTACCGGTATAAGTACATGCATATACATTAGGGCGGGTCGAAAATCTACTTTTTCTCAAATCCCTTGGTAATAGTGAAAATATATTGTATCATGAAGTGAACAAGAAGCCTGCAAAATATTAGTATTTTATTTTAATTGTAAGAGCCCGTGCATCGACCGCCAAGTGACGCACAGCACACTAGTCGAATAAAACCAATTTTTGTTAAAAATTCTGGGTTCGGCAAACGNCCTGCAAAATATTAGTATTTTATTTTAATTGTAAGAGCCCGTGCATCGACCGCCAAGTGACGCACAGCACACTAGTCGAATAAAACCAATTTTTGTTAAAAATTCTGGGTTCGGCAAACGGCAAAAGATAAAGTCAAATATCATTTCTCGCAGCCCTTTAGCTTATGTTTATTCTCAAAGGTGTCTGTTTTCAATAAAATTTTAATTGTTCTCTTGATAATTGCACTGGCCTATAGTCGAACGATGTAAAGAACATCATTAATATTGCTGGCGTGCATTTAGGTCGCTGGTTCCAAATATTCTTATCATTTTTTTAATATTAGCTGTAGTTTGCGAAATTTTGCAAATTTAGAAACAATTTCGGTAGCTCTAATAGAAAAGCCATTATTTTTCCATCATCGTGGAAAAATTTTGTTTATGCAAATGAGTATGGAAACACTGAACAGGCACAACTTCTAGAAACACTAATTAGTTTACATATGCTACAATAGAAAAATTGCAAATGTAGGAAAATGACAAAACATTTTTTTTACATTTTTTTTATTTTAAAATAATTTGTTTATAATCTGAATGATTTTCATCATGTTATTATCATAAATCAGTAACAGTAAGGCTCGCCTTCAATTTGGTAATTATTACGTACCGATCGAGTAACATCTACCAAAGTTATATCGAAAAACTTAAGCGGATCTCAAGTTTTTTTCTAAAAAAATGTCTCTTCAATTGTATAAATAACCTTTAAATGAAAGAACCGGATTGCAGAAAAGTGTGCCAGGGAGAGACTTTTTTCGTTCAAGCTGAATGCAAAGCAATATGGTCCAATTGGAAAGGATTTCCCAGGATATGTTAAGACTATTGGACTTATCTACAGTCACTTTCTCACATAATGGAGTTAACTAAAATATTTTTGTATAAACACTTATTGCACCTCCCCTACCTTCATATAACGGCAAATTTAGAAACCGCGAAAAATGTGCTTCTTCGGAGACTAATGAAACCATTCCGCACCAATTTTCAAGACAACATAAATTGACTTAAAGTGGGCGTTTTTCACCCTAATTGTATTATGTTCANCAATTTTCAAGACAACATAAATGGACTTAAAGTGGGCGTTTCTCACCCTAATTGTATTATGTTAATGTTTGTAAATACTTATATGCTTGAAACTACTATTAACTTATCAAACGATTCCTAAACTTTGACAATACATGTTTGACTTCATTCACCACGATCTTGAAAACTGACCAAATCGGCGTGACCAAGCCCATGGTCCTTTTAATATCATATAAACATCCGAAAACATTAAAACGTTTGAAATAAATAGCGTCTCACTTTTTTTGCATTTTTCACTTGGTTGCTGAAGTAATGAAGAATTGAAAATTCATAAGGGAAAATTATAGTTTTTGTAAGTTTTATCTTAATATCTTAAAAAGTTGGAGTCTTGTTGAAAAATGACAAATGAACGTGAGGTACTAAATTTAATAGCCCTTAATTTGATATATCGTCCTGTTTATAACAATTGACGCATTCCATAGATATTACTAGCCAAAGTTTCATTTTCAAAATTCATACATTTTGATTCAATTGCGCGGGCTAAAGATGCGTTTTGAATTAATTTTTCGTGGCCAATAACAATTGTCTTAGACATAAGACATCATAATATTACTATTACAATACGGTCAAATGCATTTTATTTTCCCCCATACAAAATCGACCCAGCCTAATATACATAGATACACACATATCTACATACATATCAAGAACGATAGAATACAAGATTGCGCATTCCCGCAGA